TTTCAGTGAGGAGCACTCTAAGGAGGCAACAAATGGGCAGACGCCAGTGTGGGGCAGGAACCGGCTGTGCGAAGGTCCTGGGGCTACCGCGTGGCTCTCTGGACGCTGCAGAGCTTTGCGTTTCCTTTAAGCCACAGGCAGGCGCCGGGAGTCCGCGTGCTCACAGATGTTCCTGCAAGCACTCTGGCTGCCAGGTGGGGAGTGACCACGAGCGGCCAGGCAGGGAGCGGCGAGGCAGGGAGCGGCCAGGCAGGGAGCGGCCAGGAGCAAGCCTAGTTCTGGAGCTGGAAGCTCTCAGGACTGCTGCAGTGGTGAGCGTCCTGCTAGGGGCCTGCCCAGGCCTCTCCCGTGGCCCAGGCCTAGGCCCGTGCGTGGCACGGAGAGCAGGGGCTGCCCACGGCCAGGCTGCAGGCTCCGGCGTGCCCACCGGACCCAGGGGAGACAAGACCGGAGGTCGGAGCTGACAGCCCAGGCACGGGTGAGTCTCGGTTCGGTCACCCCAGGACACCAGCATATCCCAGAGACTATGACCCCCGAGACGGTCACCTCCCCCTCCCAGAAGCTCAAGGAGACCTCAGCCGAGACCCTCAGCCCTGAGATCGCTGCTCGCAGAAGGTACCCCCAGCGGGGCAGCTGGGGCTGGAGACCGCTTTGCTCTCCCTCCCCCCAGGCCGCTCTGGCCTGCAGGGGGGCTCCCCAGGGCCGGGCGGCCCCCTCGCCAGCCAGCCTCGAGTCTGGGTGCCATTTGCACTCAGCCCTCTCCGGCCAGCCTGCTCGGCCTCCTCCGGCCTCGTCTCTGAGGCCCACACCTGGGGCCGGCCCACACCTTCCCGCCACGTGTCCTGAGCGCTGGCGCCTGCCCAACGCTGGCCCCCAGCCCCCCTCTCTCCAGGGTGTGGGGGACAGGGCTGGAGAAACCTCCTCTGGAAACCCCCCGGGAGCAGCTGGAAGAGGGGGAGGCGATACAGAGCCGTGGGGCCCTGGGAAGGATCCCGCCACCGCCACTATATAAGCCACTCCCCGCTCAGGCAGCCCAGGCGGCCAGCATGGAGCGGGGCCTGGCCCTCCTGCCCCTCCTCGTGGGCGTCCTGCAGCAGGGCAGCAGCGAAGCCGGAGGTTTCCAGAGGGAAAGAGGCTGAGGAGCGATGGGGGAGCCCCAGAGGGGCTTAGCCAGAGGGGGCTTCGCAGGGAAGAGGCCTGAGGGGAGGGGCTGGCAGGCAGGAGGGGGGGAAGGCCAGGGCAGGGCCGGGCAGGGCCGGGCAGGGCCGGGCGGCTCCTGAGAGCGCTCTGCCCGCAGGTGAGCTCCTGGAGGTGTGGCCCCCCGAGCCGGTGGTGGCCCTGGGCGGGTTCCTGCAGCTCACCTGCCGTCTGAACTGCTCGGACGGGGCCAAGGCCTCTGTGCAGTGGAAGGGCCTGGACACCAGCCTGGGCTCCGTGAAGCAGGAGGCGGAGGGCAGCGTCCTGACCGTGCGCAAGGCCTCGCGGGTGGACGAGGGTACCAGGATATGCGAGGGCTCCTGCAGGGACACCCGCCACGTCAAGACTGTGCAGATCGTGGTGTTCGGTGAGCCCCACCCCTCGGCCGCCCAGGCCCGCCCAGCCCCCTTTGCCCCTGGAGGCGTTCCCAGATTGCAGCGCCCCCAGCCTGAGTCCAGGCAGCGGGGGTGCTGCGTGCCCCCTGCATCCCCACCACCAGGCCTCCCAGCTTTCACACTCAGCACCCCCGGGCACCCCCAAATTCCACATACCTGACTCCTTGCTGTTGCTGTGCTCTGGAGCCTTTCTCAGGACCCAGCCACTTGGGGGTGTGGGGGGTCTCCCCAGTCACTGTGCAGGGCAGCCCCACATGCCCCCACACCCTCCTCAGGGCCCAGCCTGACTCTATGGCTTCAGCCCCCCACTTAAGGTCGCCCCCTTCTCCGCATCTGTCTCTGCCCGCAGCCTTCCCAGGCCAGCTGACTGTGTCCCCCCAGGCCCTGGTGGCTGGGCGGCGCCAGGAGGTGGCCTGCACCGCCCACAATGTCACTCCCACTGACCCCAACATCCTCTCCTTGTCCCTGCTCCTGGGGAACCGGGAGCTGGAGGGAGCTCAGGTTCTGAGCAGGGAAACAGAAGCGGAACCCCAAAGAGGTGAGGACGAACTGTATCGAGTGACAAAGCAGTGGCGGCTGCCCCCCTTCGAGCCCCCCGTCCCGCCTGCCCTCCACTGCCAAGCCACCATGAGGCTGCCGGGCTTGGAGCTGAGCCACCTGCTCCCCATCCCAGGTGAGTCTACGGGGTTCCCTGAGAGGGGGTACGGTCACAGTAGCCCAGTTTCAGGAACTCCACGCCTGCGTCTCCAGCAGATGCCCCCCAACACCACAGTGGTATTCCAGCCTCGGGGCAGCCAGACTGGTGCTTCGCTCGCTTGTTCTGTCAACATCCTGCCCCCCGCTGCCCCAGCGCTCTGGGGCTCCCACGCCCCTCAGAGGGAGAGCCCACATCCTCCAGCATCCGTGGGTCCCCGTCACGCCCCCTCGCCGCCTCCCTCTTTCCTCCGCCCTCACGCTGCTCTGGTCACAGAAGGACCCTCACGGGCCTCTGTCACCCCAGGCTGGTGCTGCGCCCTCTGAGGGCACTAACTTCCGCTCGGCCAGTGGCTCCCCGCACCTCCCACAGGGGCTTCCCCTGACCTCACCCCCCTTCACACACGTACACACACACCGCTGTGCTGCTGACCGCTGACAGACAGCTGCTCTCATCTCCCCACGCCCTGCCTCCGCGGGCGGCCTCGTCAGGACGGGTTGTGTCCGTCTTGTTCATAGCACAGTACCTTGACCATAGCGGGTGTTCAGAGGTACATTCTGATGAGAAAATGAAGAAGTGTTCGGGGTGAGCGAGCGTTCGGTACGGGTCCGATGTGAGCTGAAGCGACACGTGCCTGAACTGGGACAGGGAGTGCCCCCTCGGAAGCCAGAAGCCCGCCAGCCACTGCTGAGAATGATGCGTTCTCCAGGGCACCCTGGGGCGAGCCTTAGCGCTTGGGGTCATGGAGGGGGGGAGAAGAGCTGGAAGTCGGGGCCAGAGGGGCATGGAGGGAGGACCTTTCCGCTGGCCTTGAAAGGGGCCTCGTGGTAGGCCATGCGGCTGTGTCTCCCTGCACCCCAGTCTCCCCATCTGCGCCCCAGGACGGAGCAGAAAACCTCTCCCACCTTCTCCTCCTGGGGCCAACTCTCACCCCTCCCACTTCCCAGGCCCCTAATAAAATGCAGCACTCGAGCCCCCTTCACAGTGGGGGACGTGCAGGGCAGGGGAGCGAGGGGAGCACCTAACCCAACCCCTCACTGCTCACTGCTTCATCCGAGTGGCCCAGGAGAGGTTCTGGTCCAGCCCCGTGGTCCAGCTGGAGACTGAGACACCCCCCTTTTTCCAGTCCTGCCCATCTCGACTACCAAGGAGCCCGAGGTTACAGCCTCCGTGCAGGCCCCCCCAGAGCAGGACTCCAGGCTCCCGTCTCCACCTGCCAGCCCCCCGAGTCCGGGCCCCACGCCTGGGAACACATCCACCGGGCCCTGCCACCTCGAGATCCGCCAGTTGCCAGTGCCAGGGGGTCTGGAGCTGCTGTGCGAGGCCACCTGCGGCCCAGGCGGGACCGTGCGCTGGACCCAGGCCCCCGGCGGGCTGGCGGCCTACAAGTGGCGAGAGGCCGGGACCCAGGCCTGGCTGAGCGTGCGGTGGGCCAGCTGCAGCCCCGAGGGCTGGTTCCAGTGCCAGCTGGACCCAGGGGGCCGGAGGGCCAACCTGTATGTGGCCCCGGAAATGTGTGAGTCTTAGGGGCTGGGGAGGAACTGGGGGAGCCGGGAGGGAGCAGAGCCTCACAGTGAATCATAGACAAGGAAGCTCGGCCTTGAGGGTGTCCCTGGCACCCACTGGTGGGGTGCCCGGCCACGTGGAAGTCCATGTAGACTGCCGCCGTGAGCACTTCACAGCATTTAGTGAATGCTACGTTTCACAGGTTGCACGTCTGTGTCACGGAAATAGAACGGTCGCTTAGTTGATTTTGAGTTTTCTAGTAGCACATTCAGAAAAAAAGGAAAACTGAGTTTGAGGATCTATTTTATTAACCCAGAATACCTCAAGCATCATGGCAACCTGTAACCCGTGTGCATGAATGAGGTATTTCACACCCTTTTCCCAAACAAGTCTTAAAGACGTGGCCGGCGATGGCTCCGGCGGCCCCTGGCGTTCAGACTGGCCACAGTCCCAGTGCCCGGCCGGCGCTGGAGGGGTCCCCTGGGTGGGGACTTAGAAGTTAGCCCACTTCTAGCCGAAGTCAGGTAAATTTGGCAGGCTTCACTCTAAGCCCTGTGGCTACTGGGGGGAGGGGGGGCACATTTCACAATGCTCAAATGTAAAGTCAAACTGTAAACTGTAGACTGGCGAGTCCTTTGCAACATTTCGGGAGAGTGGGGAGCCCTGCGCAGACTGCCGGGGTCCTCTGCAGGACCGGCAGAGGGTTCAGGGACCCGGTGCTTCTTCTCCAGGTCGCCACCCAGTGTCCGCAGACCTGTGGACAAGCAGCTTGGTGCTGGGGCTGCTTCTGCTGGCCCTCCTCGCCTGCCACCTGAGGCGCCGCTGCCGCTGCCGGCATGCCCACTGACACCCCACAGCTGCCCTGGGCCCCTGCCCAGCCGGCCGGCGCAGGCAACAGCAGCCCCCTCTGCTCGGCTGCAGCCAGAGGACCTGGCGGGGTTCTGAGCAGCACAGGGCGGGCAGGGACCGTGCACTGCTGGCCAGCACCTGCGCTTCCTCCCTGCCTGCGTCCCCTCGGCGGCCCGGTCAGGACAGGGCTGGAGAATAAACAGTATCTCATCTGGGTTCAGTGGTTCCGGTCATGGTGTGAAGACGCTGGAATCCTCTGTACCCCTGTTCTCTGTCCTGGTGACTCCAGAAAGGGGGTGGCCAGACCCTAGCCCCGCTAGCCCGGGGGAGGGCGGGGAGTAAGAGGGAGCAGGAGCTCGGCCTCAAGAGTGGGAGGACTTGTGCCTGCGCCTGGGTGTGGGGACACTGGGGCTTATGGGGTAACGAGGGGCCCTCCAAAGTAGCAGAGGACATACTTGGTGGGGGCAGCTGAGGAAGACAGAGACGCGAGGTGGCTTATTAAGGCAACTTGCCTCTTTTGGGTGGTGGTAGGCAGACGGAGGGGGCGGGGAGCAGAAGGGAGCGGGCGGTCAGTGGCTGGAGGAGCCGCTGAGGCCGGGGACCGCGCCCGCGCCGTCGGGGGCCTGAGGTCGGCGCGGTCGCAGACTCGATGAAAGACAAATCCCTCTGGTGGCGGAGCCCAGTCAAAGCCGAGGAGGGCGGACCGCGCGGCGCGCGCCTGGAACGCGCACGTGGGGCAGGGACTGCGGCAACGCAGAGGGCCCCAGTCGGCCGGGGGCGGCGGAGCTTTCCCCGCTCCGGCAGACACTGGGCTGGGTGGGGGGAGGCTGGTTTGCCAAGGCTCGGAGCGCGCGCGAGGGCGCCCAGTCCCCGACTCTGGGCGGCTGCTCCCTCCCCAGCGCGCGGAGCTTCCCTGGTAACCGGGGAGACTGGTTGCTAGGGAAACACGCTCACCCACTACCAACATGGCCTGCCTTACGGCGTCATGCCAGAAACTAAGTCCTTCCTCGTGAGCCATCTTGGAGTCTGGCAAGACTCACGTTCGGGGGCTGAACCAGCCGGCACACAGAACGGGAAAACGAAGCTCCAACTCCTGTTCGGACCTACGGGAAAGGCGGGCCGGCTGCAGTAATTCCCGCGCCCCCCGCCCACGGGGCTGGGAACGCCCTGCCCTTAGCCAAGATGGCCGCCGAGGCGCCAACGCACTATGAAATATGGCAGCGCTTCCGGCCCCGCTGCCCTCAGCGAAGATGGCGGCAGTGGACAAGCGGCGGCCGGCGGCGGCCCAGGCGGCCAGTTTCCCAGACAGCGGCCGGCCGTCGGTATCCCGAGCGACGGCAACAGCCGAAAGCGAGGAGGATTTCCTGCGGCAGGTCGGCGTGACGGAGATGCTGCGCACAGCCCTGCTGAAGGTACTGGAGGCGCGACCCGAGGAGCCGATCGCTTTCCTGGCGCACTACTTCGAGAACATGGGACTGCGCTCGCCGGTAAACGGAGGCGCCGGGGAGCCTCCGGGCCAGCTCCTGCTGCAGCAGCAGCGCCTGAGCCGCGCGCTGTGGCACCTTCGCCTGGCTCATCACTCCCAGAGGTGCGGGGCTGGGCGGGCTGCGTGGGTGGGGGCTGCGGCCTCCACCTCGGCTGCTCCGCGTGGCTGCGGTTGCCACGCGCGGGGCACGCTGGGAACTATAGTCCGCTGCCTCTTGGCGCTGGACGAACCCAGACAATGGTGCGGGGCAGCGCCTCCCTGGTTAGCTTGTAACTCCCGCCAGCTTTGCCTCCTGTGGTGTCTTTTTGCAGATGCTGCATTTCCCCGTGCAGCCCACTCCACTTTTGAAAATCATGGAGCTCCGGGAGGATTTGGCCCAGGGTCACTGAGCAAGTCCTGTTGGCCAGGACTCTCCTGGTGGCCTTTTGACCACGTCATAGCATCCTGTCCATTAAGCCAGAAAATGAGTGTTTACAGGACTGGGCCGGGGAGATATGGAGCAGCCTATTCACCCAAGGTCCCACTGCTGACATCGGGGCTTCTCTGTGGAAGGCCACACCGGGCACTGAGGGAGACTGAAGCCCATCCCTGGCCCCGCCCATTGGACACCAGAACCACCCTTAGTGTGACAGCCACAGATCCACAGGTGTGCCCAGGCGTTGCCCAGGGTCCATCTCGGGGCAGAATTTCCCCCTTCCTTCCCTATGCCTCACCCCCACCCCACTGACAATTGCTGGCCAAAAGTGAAGGCCACCTTCTGGAGACATTCATAAATATATATATGCATTTTTGCACCTGGTAGAGCGGACACAGATGGAGCCCACCATAAATAGCTAGTGCCCACATCACAGATGGTGAAACCGAGGCAAAGAGCCCGTGGACGCAGACCAGGCTTCCAGGTGCAGAGCTTGTGGCCCACGATTCCGCAGATTTCACTGGTGGTGCGCTTGCCCTGGGGTAGAGGTGAGACCTCACCCAGGCACAGGTGTCGGGTCCTCTGGGCCTCTTGCCCAGTCTTCCCTCATGACTCTGATCTCACTGGGCTGCAATTACCCTTCAGTGCATCCTGCTACCCCTCAAGGCCAGGAGCACCTGGGTTGATCCCAGCTGTGGTCAAACTAGTGGCTGTGTCCAGCTTAAGTGCTCGGTGTGCACCTTGCAAGAGCCCTGAGATGCCTGTGAGGAAGGCAACGTCTGTGACTTAAGAGTAGGTCCCGGGGGGGGGGGGGGGGCAGGGAAAGCTACGCACAGAAGGTGCTCCATGAACACTTAGGCACTCCAGTTTTGGCCACCCTGGCTGCTGCCTCCAGAAAGGAGTGAACTAATTCCAAAAACAGGAGTCAGAAGAGAGACCTCGGAGCAGTCAGTGAATGGCTGGCCACCGCCAGGGTGACAGGTAACCTGATACCTCTAACCTCGGCCCACCTAAGTTTCTCTTCTTACCTGCACCTCAGGGGTTAGCAGGAGCTCTGCAGTCAGGACAGTGGGGAGCAGGCTGTTGGGGACAGTGCAGTTGCTGTTAAAATAGCCATTGAGAGTGGACTTCGTGTCCCATGCATGAGTTTCAGCGGCCAAAGCCAGCTCAGGGCACAGCCTCGCTTGGGGGTACGGGGCTGCGCAGCGGCACTGGTGGCACAGTCAGTGGCTCCGTGGCTGGCAACCCGTCCCGTCCTCCCACACCTGCACACCAGTGGCGCCAGGCGGAGAGTGGCCGTGCCTGCATTCTGCTAAGGGCTCCCCGCTGCTGATCAGCCGGGAGCCTGGGTAGGGAGCCGAGGCCCCGGCTCTGCCCCACGTGGTGTGGCTGCACCCTGGCTGCAGCCGCCCGCCCGAGAGACGGGCCCCCCATCAAGTCCCTGACAGAACGGGAGATGATAGCGTTTGTTCTGCGTCAGGCCCCCGGCTGGGTGGCTGGGTGGTCCTCACATAAGGGAGCTCGCAGGTGCCTGCTGTCTACTCCCGCCAGACCATCCCCAACTTCCTTTCTGGTGAAGAGTTCATGAAAGCCCCCCAAGGGGGTGTTATGAGGCCCCAAGGCGAGAGGTGACAGCAGTGTTAGTGGGAGCAAGTGTGGACCCAGTATAAGCCATGACTGCTGTGGGGGAGCAGGGGCGTTTACGGCCAGGTGGGCCGAGGACACAGTCCCTCTGGGAGACCCCCGGCGGCTGCACTGGCACCTCTGGGTCTCGGTTTCCTCCTCTGGAAGGGGCTTCGGGCCAAGCAGGGGTGCCTGGCGCACCGCCCGAGGGAGCCGGGTGCAGCCAGAAGAAAAGTAGGAGGGAGAGCGCATCAGGGCGCGCCCCACCGAAAAGCTGGCGTGTGAGCAGACTCGAGTCTCGGAGCCCAGGGCGGGTCCCGGGTGGCGGCACAGCCAGGCAAGGGCCCCTGGCAGCGGACAGGTGCGCCGGAGGCCGCGCTGGCTTGCCCGCCAATGCCCCTTCTGCCCGCAGGACGGCCTTCAACAACAATGTGGGTGTGGCCTACGAGTGCCTGAGTGCCAGTGGGCGCAAGAAGAAGCCGGGGCTGGACGGACGCACCTACAGTGAGCTGCTCAAGCGCATCTGCCGGGACGGCGAGGCCCCCGAGGAGGTGGTGGCGCCGCTGCTGCGCAAGATCCAGTGCCGGGACCACGAGGCCGTGCCCCTGGGTGTCTTCCGCACGGGCATGCTCACCTGCTTCGTGCTGCTGGAGTTCGTGGCGCGGGCCAGCGCGCTCTACCAGCTGCTGGAGGACCCCGCCCTGGCCGTGGCCGACCGCCGTGTGGGCCAGGCCGTGCTGGACACCCTGGAGGGAGCCCTGCAGGCCGGCGACGGTGCCGCGGCGCCCGTCCGCTACCTGGAGGCCGGCTCCCGCCTGGGGCCCGACAGCCTGGCGCTGGCCATGGACCGTGCTGTGGTGGCGAGGCGACCCAGCAACCCCATGACGCGGGAGGAGTTCCTGGAGAAAGCGGCCACCCTCTTCATTGCCAAGGTCAAGCCGGTGGGCTGAACCCCCTCCTCGTACCTTGCCTACCCCCTGCCCAGACTGGGGAGGTGGGCACTGGATCTGTCTTGCTGGATCCTGGGTGAACACGGATCGGGGCAGGGGAAGTGCAGGAAGCCTCCCCACACCCTGCTTCCTGCCTGCAGTGACACCACAGCCCCTTGGTGGGGAGCACAGGACCCCGGGAAATAGCCCCCTAGCAGTAATAAAGCATAATCCCGAGGCTGACCCGGTGTGTGTGCCCCCCGATTCCCAGCACCACGTCTGCAGAAATGTCCCTCCACTCACAGCGCACACCTGCCCACCTGGAGATGCAGGTGCCCCTGCGATCAGCCTGGGAGCAGAGAGCTGCTCACACCTGTGCATGCCCGGTGCCCTCGAGCTCCCAAACCCGGTGGGTCCAGCCCGAAGGCTATGGGTAGGACCGGTCCCCGTGGGCCCCGCCAGTCAGTTCCTGCCTGATCCTCAATCTCCAGCTCTCCGAGGAAGAGGTCGGCTGGGCAGGTAACAGCGTAGTAGCCTGTCCCGGCCCCACAGCCAGTGAGGAAGGCAAATCACTGCCGTATTTGGTAGGTGGGGAAACTGAGGCCCAGAGGTGAAGAGGATTCGAACCCAGGCCCCACTCCAGAACCCAGCCTGGGGGTGGACTTTCCAGAGTCCAGTCACTCCCGCCAAGACCTGCGATGGCCCTTCTCGCGTCCCCTCTGAGGAGTGGGGCTGTTCCCTAAATACAGAGTCCAGGGGCCGAGTCAGGGCCCAGGCTGAGCAGTACCTGCAGGTGGTTCTGGCCCTCCCGAAGCAGGCTCAGCCCTAGCCAGGGGCTGTGGCGAGAACACGGCCACCTCGCGCCCACTTCCACCCTGCCGTGGAGGGGTGGGCAAGGAACGAGCATCCCAGAGCCGCTCTGTCACAACAGACACAGCAATCACTCCCAGCCACTCGCCTTTCCAGAAGCTCCTGTTTTCCACAGTAGACAAAGTAATACAATATTCAACACTCCCAGTCCAGTGAGTCCTCTACAGCAGACGCTTCCAGAGCCTCACCACTCCCCTCAAAGGGCAGATCAAGTGGTGAGAACTTCCTGTTCTCTGAACGTGATTCCGTGACACTTGACGATGTCCAAGGCAAGGTTGTACAGGCGCCCAGGGCTCAGCCTGTCAACAAGAGCCTTGGGACAGATCCCACTTTGCAGATTCCTGAGCTAGAGAAATGTTCTTGTTTTGAGCTACCAGCTGCTCTGTGAGGCAGCAAAGGTGTGCCAGAAGCCACAGATCAGCACTCCACTCGCGAGTGAGCTGAGCGACTACCAGAGACCACCCACAAGTGTGGGCCCAGGGCCACAGGCTGGGGCCACTGTTGGGCTGGCCACGCTGGCCAAAGGGCCGAGGCCGCTGCCAGCAAGTAGCCCTCAGCCGGGCAGCGCTGCTTTAAATGCCCACAGTGCAGAGGCCAGCACAGGACGCCAGGCACAGGTGGTTCCGAGGACACAGGGCCCAGGCGTCCTGTGGGCAACTCAGGACCACGGGGGTACCTTCTCTCCCGCAACCAGAAGCCGACACCGGTGTGTGCTGGGTCTTGCTGGCGCCCTGGCCCCTGCCCAGCTGGCCTGCGAGAGGCGCAAGTGGCCCCTGGACCCTCAGCGGTGTGGCGAGAGGAGACCCGGGTTCAAGAGCCCGCCCCCTTGCTTCAGGTAGCGTGAACTCAGCAGTCACATACTGGCCCGTCCCATCAGGCGGAGGCCAGCTCCAACCAGGGCCGCTTCCCCTGCACCCCAAGTACAGGTGCCCAAGTCGCCACCACGCCTAGCCCAGGGCCCAGGTCCCATCTGTCTGACCCTGGATGGACAGTGGCCAGCAGTCTTCAGAAGGCGGCCTGTCCTGACCCCCCCAGGGTGAGCGGGGAGTGTGCACACCTCCCCTCTGCAACGCACCGGCTGCACCCGCCCTGCCCAGGCCCCCTGTTGGTTACTCCCAGGCCTCCCAGGAAGGTCTGACTGGCTTCTGGCTTCCTGCAGGTTGCTCGTCGCCCCCAGAAAGCGCTTCGCAGGTTTCTCAGCAGCCGCGGTTTCGCTGGCGGCTTGGTGGCCAAAGGTTCTAAAGTCTCTTCTTGGCCTCCCACCCCAGCACCAGCCTGCTGGGCCTGGAGGATAGAGCCTCTGGGCAGCAGCCAGACCTGGGGTTCCTCGGGGGTGTCTGGGCTCCTCCATGGGGCTCCCAGTCCTTCCAGACGGCAAGGCAGAGCCCCTCCTCCCCACGGCCGCCCCCAATCCTGGTGGCAGCCCTGGGCAAACCTCTCCCAGTCTGGCCTGTCGGTGTAGCCAACACACCTGTGAGCAGGCGACAGCCCCCGTGCAGTGCCCCGGGAACCTAGGCCTCCGCAGGTGGCCCCTCTCGCCAGGGAGACACGGCCTGGGAGGGTTGGGCCAGGAGGCCCTTGGCCAGGGTGAGAGGCTCATGTCACCACGTGAGGCCTGGAAACAGCCAGCGGCCAGGAAAGCTAAGCTAAGAGGCTCCCGCTTCCATTCTCGCCTCCGTCCGCACGCTCTGCCCAGGCACACCGGCCTGCCCCCACCTCGCCATCTCTGCGCGGCTGTTCCTGTCCTCTCACTCCTCAAATGTCCACTCCGGAGAAACACCGCCCCCGACACTAACCAAAATAACCGTGCACCAGTGCTACGCTAACGCCTCACCACGCCTGTTAGGTTGTTCTCCGCAAGGGTTTCTCTTTGTTCTGCTCATTGCTCATCCCCGGCCGCGGGAGAACTAGTCTGTCTTCCAGATGAAGAACCTGAAACTCTAGAGGCAGGTGTATCCGCTGACCGCAGTGCTGGTGACCTAAAACAACGCAAATTTGGTATCTGGCAGTTCTGGGGGTCTGAAATCCTAAAACCAAGGCAGCGGCAGAGCCCAGGTCTTCCCAGCCCACCGGCCCCGGACGCCCCCGCGGCGTCTCACTGGCCAGCAGTCACAGGCTGGTTCCCAACCTGTTTCCTTTCCCGGCTGCTGCAGGTGGCCGCACCCTGGGCCTCCTCCCCCTTCCTCCCTGTTCACAGTGCGCCCCTGCGGGCTCTGCTTCATCACACGGCCTTCTCGCTGATGTCACAGCCATCTGGGGCGCCATGACCCCCCACCCCGCAGTCACCAGCCCAAGTACGGAACTGGGCTCTGTGCCATCCACTGCAGCTGACAGCCTTGTGTCCTGCCCCAGTGACCCCCCGCTCCCCTCTGGGCCCACATTCTTTATCGTGCACCCCCTTTTGCTTCCCGCCTGCAGCCCCTCTGCCTCCTGCAATCCTCTCTTCGCAGCGGGGCATAACCAGAGAAGCACCACGGTGTGAACCCCAGAACATCGGCAGTTTCCATGTGGAGAGTCCCCAAGTGTGCTCTCGTGTAACCCACTTCACAGAGAGGCCTCGTCTAGCATTCGAGGACGTTTCCAGAGCCTGTCAGGGCTCCGCTTGGACCATCACCACGGTGGCAGAGCTGCCACTTGAGTTCAGGGTCAAAGGTCAGCCCGAGATAAGGGTACAACCTCCTGAGGGTGAGTGGACTCTAGGGGCTCGGCAGGGAAAGTGGACAACTCTCCCCAGTTTCGGGAGGAATCGCATCTTGCCAACGCCACGATTCGTCTGTACCCCCGGGACCTGCCCACCTGGAGATGCAGGTGCCCCTGCGATC